AAGCTCACAAGGACTGAAGCTGAGAGACCAGTCAACCAGATTTGCATGCCATATCTGAGAAAAAAAGAAAGACATTAAAAAAAATCACTCCAAGATGCCTGTCCTGGAAGGGTCAAATTGCTATTGCTTGAGATGAGGCAGACTAATAGGAGCAATTGGAGGAAGATGGGGAACGGATGCAGAGAATCAGGAATTTGGTTTTGGATATGCCTTTTAATATCCAARTGGAGATTCATAGTGGTCAGGTCAGTTGGATGAAGGAATCTGAATTTAATAGACAGAGAGGTAAGTTAGCAGTGAACACACACACACAGAGGTATTTGTATGTGTATATACATTATACATGTTTGCGTTATATTCCATATATATGAACTAGCAATATATATTTGATATTTTAAAACCATGAAACTGAATATAGAAGAAGTAAAGAAGATCAAATTGAGCCCTGAGGTGTATGAAGATCAGGAGGGGACAATAAGTAAGGAGAATAATCAAGASAGTACAGTGTACTAGAATTTAAGTGAACATTTAATAAAATTTAAAGCTTTTTGTGCATATTTATTCATTCAACAAATATATTCTGAAGACTTATGTGTCAGACACTGTGGAAACAAACATAGTCTCTGCTCTAATGAGGACCACAATCCATGAGGGCTAGAGATAAACAGACTTCTAAATGCTGCTACACAGTTCATCCTGTTTTAGGATAATGCACTACAGACTACTAATCCCAGGCTTGAAGAGTCAGAAAAGGCTTTCCTGAGGAAGAAAAGATCAGAGTAAGTGAAGATCAGCCACGGAGAATCGGGAAGAGGGGGAGGAGAGAGTGGAAAAAGGTTGAAAGAATATATTTACAGATTTCTAAAGTTAAGAGAAATACTGTTCTGTCTCTACAGACCTGAAAGGAGTTCAGTACAGGAAGTATAGAAAGAAGTAACAAGGGAGATAGGAGAAGGGCAGCCCAAGTCCTTTAATACTTGTAAGGAGTCTCAACTTTATTTCAAAGGCAATAGGAAGTAAGAAAATTATTTTATATGGGGAGAATGTAGCTCACTTTTCTGTTACTCTCCCTCTCCTTACTCTCTGTATTGGCCTTTCTATTTCAGGAGGATCACTGATTATGGTAGGGATCAAACTCTGGAAAGGAGCACAGCTGGGTTACTGAACTCCTTAGGAAGCCTGTTTTCATGGTTCATCAGGTAGGTGCAACTGATGCCTGAACTTGGGTAGTGGCACTGGGATTTGGAATATACTCAACAGGATTTTAGCTATGAGGAGTCAAGGATAATGACCTAGTTTTTGATCTGGACAAATAAGTAGACAGTAGCACTACTCATTAAAAGAAGGAGTACAGAAAAGGGGAAGGTAGGTAGCAGGGGTGGAATATGTTGAGTTTGCAATGCCTGTTAACACACTGTTAAGTAAAAAGGCAAACTGGCTACCTAGGTTGAAGTCAACCATAAAATCTGAAATAAAATTATAGATCGGGAATCATAGATAGGGATTAATACCACATGAAAAATAAATTAATAAATAAAACCCAGGGAGTGAGAAGAGTGGAGAAATGGAACAGATTTGGCTCTGGTTAAATCCAATATAAACCAGACAAGCAGTGGAAGAAGAACACTATAAAAAGCAGAAAGAACAAAAAGAGATATATAAAGGGGAAGAGGGAATAGGAGAGTGATGGAGTAAGGGTAAGAAAGAGATGGAAAGGGAGAGAGAGTCTGAGAAGGAGAAAGGGAGTCTAGAACAAAAGCAAAATGGATAGTAGGCCAGAAAGACAACCAAAGCATGAGTTCATATAAGTTCATACACAGAAAAATGGCCTAGTTATTGTTTACACTATTCTATAAACAACCAACAAATAGTTTTCATGAGCTATCAATACATTTCAGTGCTAGAATAACCTTAGCCTAGGTGAAGAAGCAAAATACAAAAAAAAAAAAAAARGTTAATTAGCAATAGTAAATACAGTTTTTAAATAACAATAAAAATGCTTGGGGGGGGGAATTCCATTACTGGACAGTAGTATGAACTACAGATAGAAAGTGAAATCCTATAAAAAATGGCTAAAAAGCCGAGTGAAAGTTTTCACTTCTTTGGTTTAAAAAAACAAAGCAAGTTGAACTTAAAGGATGAAACTATATAATACAGGAAGGCGCAGTCACACCACAGAGGATTCTAAGAGTCTATACAAAGTGATTTTATGAGCAGTTACTCAAGGCTTGCTGTCAGAATACTTCACAGACCAGAATAAACACACACCTATAAACACGTGGTACATAGTAAATGAAACCAATTTTGAAAACAAACCTTTTAGATATATAAAGTATATAAATTTATTCGAATACAATTTGTGATATGCTTATTGTATAATGCCAAGACATATTCTACTGAATTATCACAACTCTTTATTTGAAGAGGGCCATCGTTAACTGTTTCCTCACCCCTTGTGGGGGAAGTACTAGGGATTGAACCCATAGATGCAATAGTTCTTCTATTCAAAAAAAAAAACCTTTATTTTATTTATGTATTTTTTTATTTATTTTTTTAATATGGTGTTGAATATCAAACTCAGTGCCTCACACATGCTAGGTGAGTGCTCTACCACGGAGCCACATCTATTTTTACTTTTTAAATTTTGAGACAGGGTTCTGCTAAGATGCTGAAACTGGCCTTGATCTTTCAATTCTCCTGTTTTGGCCTCCCAAGTCGCTGGGATTACTGGTTGGTTATGTGTTTTGGGGTTCTCCCATATATTCTCAGGGGAGTGCCTAAATTATTTCACATAGCAACACCATTAGACTGAAATACTTATGATGAACAAAAAATTTCAGATTGTTTTCAACAAAGCAAAACAGACTTCATAGAAGATGGAGTTAGTTAATTAGAAAAGACATGAAACAGACACCTATTAATTTGCCACATTGATTTCTTCTCTCCCACAATTTGAGTTTTTTGGCTGATTGACAGCATTACACAMACATGCTCGTCTCTGGTTTAGTTCATTCGAACACATATAGGAATGCAGCTATTGGTTTTTGAAATTTTTTAAAGAATGACAGTCCTATAAAACAAAATCTTTTTAATAAAATTAAGTGCGGTGTTCAGAAACTTAAATATCAATCCAAAGCATTCCAATGGCAACTCCCTTTCTATTACTAAAAAATATTCACAAGATGTAACGTGCATCAGAGGCATCAATTGGGAATAAATTCACATCACAATTAAACACAGACAATAACCACACAAGTTTCCGGAGGATTTATTTCTGCTTCCACAAAGAATCTCAGCAAAATATCTACCTAGTCTTTAAAAAGCCAAATAATATTACAGCTTAATACCAAATTCAAGTACTGCTTATACTCTTTCTTCTTTTCCATATTAGAAACAATATAGCAAAGCCAGAAGTAAGGTCCAAATAAAAACAAATTTCACAGCTCTTAAAAAAATACACAACTGTCACTGTTTAAAAAAGCCAAGTGTGCAACTAACTGCTCTGTCTAAATTCTTGGTTTGAGGCATCTCTTAAATGACACACACACCAAAAAAATCAAATAAACATTAGTTCTTGCAAATATAATGCAAATAGCATGCTAATTAAAGTATTCACAAAACAATGACAAATAGGGCTTTAGGACTTCAGTACATATTATTATGTAACTACAATACACATTAAGCAATCACCAGGTTGTAGGCAGGCCTTCCAAAAGGAGTTATTATGGTTTACCATGATCTGAAGACTGTGGTGTTACACCTAATCATGCTTTTACCTGCAACCAGGTGTTTACAGATGTCAAGAAGTAAATGCTGACTGTAAATGTAAACCTACAGTTCTGCCTAATAAATTGTGCAGTATCTGCACACTGTACCTCCCTGTTTTCTGCACAAACTTTCTACTCCAATATGAAATAAACAGCACAAGGTATGTTTTATGGACCAAAATTTTACTTCCAATTCATTTTCAGTACAATGCCCAGACTCACACACTTAGAACTAGACTTGTGTCAAGGGCTATGAAGTTAAAATTTAACACTTAGGAGACCCAAATAAATATCCTCAGGATTTCAATAAAAGTATAGATGTCTCAAAAAGAAAGTTCTAGGATAACAATATTCAGTGCATTTAACAGGCAAATTACAGAAACCATACACAACTAACTAAACACAATCTACTCATTATGGCAAGAAATTCCAAATACTCCAATTTTTAAATACAAGGAGAAAAAAAAAAWATATGAGAAAGTGACAGGGTATATAGATGCCATAAATCAATGGATTTTTCTATGAGTGCTCAAAAAAAAATTCAGGAAACCTGGAGTAAAATCTTCTGGGCCCTTATCAAGATGCTAGTTCAAACAGTAATGCAAGACACCTGACACCCCAGGGCAGCTCACAGACCTTCTGAGCAGTGAAAGGAAGGGCATAAATAAAATAACAGTCAAGGCAGGAGATTTTTCAGGGAGTTGGAATTACAACACTACAAGGTGTTTTCCAAGGCTGGGCCTAAAATGTCCATGGGAAAAAAAATTTTTTTCCTACCCAAAGCAGAGATCTGCATCAACAGCAGCCAGGACCTTCTCCAGTAGTTCCAAGTGGCACCACCTACCCTCTCCACCAGGGAGGGCAAACCCTGCACACACATATACACCAAATGCACACACAACCAAACCCAACCAGCTCAACATGAAAAATACTGGAGGTTGGGAGCTGAAGGAAAAAGGGGACTGAGACGTACTTTTCTCAGGCTTACAGTATTCACAGTCACCAGAATGGGAGGGCTCCACATTCTGAAGGGGTGACCAAGATGGTGACAAGTCAAAGACAAGGACAATATTTGCAAAAGAATCACTGGAAGCCCTGAGAAGTAAGAGTGGGCAAGGATTCACCTTGCTCCTGGTCAACTAGGTCACTCTCACCAACCAGCTCAAAGTCCCAGTAACAGCTGAACTCCCTACTTGTAGAACAGCCACCAATGGCATGGCCTCCTTGGCTTACCTCACAGGCTGGGACCCGGCAGGCTTTGAGCTTGTCACCATCTCCTTCAGGCAGACCAGTCCGACGTGTGGCCATCATTTCATTTCAAATTGCAAAGAAAGGGCAAATCCTTTGGAGTCCACATTGGGGGTTGGGTGGGGAATGCCACCACAAGTCAAAAGGGCAAGAATTTCACACCAGACTGGGAGAGAAGATGCAGGGCTAGTGAAACAACGTGCCAGGGAATGAAGGTTTTTCAGGAAGCTTCCAATGCTGGCTTCAACTGACTCCACCGTCTTCTTCCATTTCTTGAGACTTAAAAAAAACAAAGGAGACAGATCTCCTTAACAGTCAATGTCCAGGCCAACTGCAGAAAGCGGTCCCTTCTAAGCAATGCTAACTCCGGGGGCCAAAAGGAAGCCCAGTGGGTCGCTCCAGCGTCTGCTCCTGAAGAGGTCCTTCCTACAACAGGGAGAAGTTAAAAGRGCATGAACTTTCTCCAGACACCGATCTTTAGCCTTGCCACATGTCGACATCAAGTTCGCGTATCCGGCACTCGGATTATTCGGTCCAAGAAGACGAACCATACAAGTGAAAAAAGAACTCATCTTTGCATGCATCAAATTTTGGGGGGAAAAAATTAAAGGAAAAGCTTATAAATTCAAGAGGGGCACAGAAGAACGAGAAACCTCAGAATTTCCCGAGGGTTTTATCAAACACAGCTGGCTGCTGTGCAGCCTTCAAGAAAAAAAAAAATTCCCTGTTCAAGTGCATTTTAATTAATGAATTTCCTGGGCAGAACAGAGGCAGTAGGTATGTTCTGCATCACCCGGATACACACACTTCAGGGATGTTTCTCCCCACGGGGACAAAACGGGATACTTTCCTACAACCTTCTCGCTCCCTTCCACCTCCTCAAAAAACAAACAAAAAGCCGACCGGGGCCGGGGCCAAGGCCGGCGTAGGCTTGGCGGAGTCTCCAGGCRGGCTGCCCCGGCCGCCGGGTGACTCTGGCCGCCCGCACCCTGCCCCTCCGCCCGAGCCGGCGTCCCCGAGGAGGCGGCTGTTTTCCTTGGCCCGCGGCGAAGCTGGGTGGGGACGACCGGGCCGGGCAAGGAGGCGTGCGGCCGCGAGCRGGACGCGGCGCCGCTCCCGCTCCAGGGCATTATTCTGGAGCTACACTGACGAAGCCTCAGCCCAGGCAACTTTTATCTCGTGGCTGTTCCCCCAACTACGACCCGACACTATCCCTTCCCCTGTAACCACCTAGGGAAGGGGAAAAAAAAAAAAAAGGAAAAAGAAAACCACCACCCACCTACCACTATTTCCTCCGCCCCTTCCTGAGGCGGGTCGGGGAGCTCGAGCTCCCGAGAAGAGTGGCCCAAAWGTGTACTTCGAAAAAGGTGCGGGAAGGCGTGGGGGAAAGATCCAAACCCGGGGGCTCACCTTCCCGCCCGCTCGGGCCCAGCTGCCCCGCGCGGCTGCCAGCAGGAGCGGGGACGCGGGCTGGGCGACGGGCCCGGCCGGGAGGCGCTAGGCCGCAGGCTCGGTTAATATTCATGAGCGGCCCGAGGCGCCCCTCCTCCACGGCCGTCCGGCCGGACCCCGGCGCCCGCCACCGGCCTTTGTGCCCTTCCCTCCTCCTGCCGGCCCTCCTAGGCTCCGCACACGCGGGCGCGGCCCCTCCGCCCCCTCCGGACGCCCGCCGCAGACTCCCTGCGGCCCCGCGCCAGCTCCGGCACTGGTTTGAGGTGGCGGGAAGGGAAGGAACCCGCTGCGAACCAGGTTTTCCACAGCCCCGCCAGCGCTCTGCCCTCCCGGCTAAAACGGAAAAAGAAAACACGCACCGGAGGAAGCGGGGCGAGTGGATCCCGCACCGCGCTGCCGACCGCCGGAGAGCGCGTTCCGCACGCCGGCGCCAGCTGAACCCAGCGGGAGGACCAGCCGGCGCTGCCCGCCGCTGCGCTCCGAGGCCGCCGCCCCCGGCCGGCCGCTCCCAAGCACCGCCGCGACCTGCCCCGGCCGGCCCCGGGCTCTCGGCCGCCGCGGGAGGGCGTGGGGCGGGGCGGCGGCCGCCGGACTCTCCCCTCGCCTCGCCGGGCCCGGCCGGGGCCCTGCTTCGGCGCCCGCGATCGCCAAGTGACAGAAACGCCTGGCTCCGCAGCCGCGCGGAGCTGTTTCCCGGGGGCGGATTTCTCGCTTCTTCCTCCCTGGATCCACCTCCTCCCACTCCACCTCCTTCCCCTCCCCTCCCCAGGGGAGGCTCTGGGACTGAATATTTTCTGTCTTGAATAATACGGTCCCAGGGAACCGACGCAGGAGGAGGATTAACCCGGGGCGGGAGGGGTGCTCGCCAACCCCCTTCGAACGCGGCTGGGGACCCACAAACCCTCACGCCCAGCAGCACCCCAAAACCAGGCTCACAAAATCTCCCGCCCTCTCCGACCTCCCGAGCGCTGAACGGAGCGGCCAGGAGCGGGGGTTTATCCTGGGAAAGAGATTTGGTGGCTGGTGTCCGGGTTGCTTAGTGGGAGACAGTCATATAGCGAGATCTATGGAACCGAGGGATCAAAGGTCCCAGACTGCGAAGGACAWGTCTTGGTGAATTATTGGCCCCTTTTTTGAAGCGGGAGGAGCACGAAGCTGGGAGATGTGGGACTTCCAGATAAGGGAGTGTCCTCTCACATCAGACAGCAAAATATTTTCCCGTGGTGGGAAAAAAGGGAGCAGGTAGCAGCGGAGCGTTGTTCATTCAATTCTTTCCTTTAAAAAAAATATCTACAGAGCCGCTGAGCTGCTTCGGAGCGACTAGCAGAACTGAGGAAAGGTGGCTGTGTTTCTCTGCACTACAGGTCACTGCGGCTCCACACCCAGAGCACAGCCGCGCGCCGTCCCTCCCCACCCGACTCCAGGGCCTGGTCTTAGACCCCGGGCGGCTTGCTCCACCCCGCCGCGCCTCACAACATCTCCCGCTGCAAATTGTCCAATCGGGAGACGTGACAAGAGAACAGGAACCAATCAGAGGCTGCTGACTCAGGTCTCCCTCCACCCTTTGCCCCGCCCCCAAGAGTAAAGCCACCGCCCCCTGCTCCCCCCCCCCAGCCCCGCCTCAGTCTCCCCTTCGCGTCTCGCCTAGGGGTCCTGGGTGGTGGCTCACCGGCTTKGGTCCTTGCCTCCCCGAAGTGGAGTAGTAGCTTGATGTGGAGGCGGCGTTTTTCACCTTGTCACCCCCTTCCACTCCCCCTCCTAAATACAGCCCTCCTCCCTTCCCCAGTCCTCCTGCTGGTGCTGTTGAGGGTCATTTCTATCCTCACTTCAGCGGGGGACTGCTAGCTATTGTGTCTGATCAGCTACCACCACCATCCTCAGGGAGAAAAGAAGAACAAAACCAAGAAGCTAAGGGGTGTCTCTATCTTTTCCTTCTTTCTTATACACTTATCTTCTAAAGACTCAGTCACCTCTCCTCCCCTGCTTCTCGTCCACTGCCTCCGGTTCTGTTTCTTGATAGGGGGGGGGGGGACAAAAAACACTCTCTGGGGTAGGAATACCTAGGTCTCCGTTTTTTGGTCTTCCTTAGAGTGGAAAGCACCAATTAACAACTAAATCCTCACACTCAAAAAAAATTAAAATTAAAAATTGACGAGCTCTTGTTTTTGTTTTTTAGCTGTATATTGACTAAATCATTTTTATGGCCTTGAAATTTGCGTGTTCCAGACAGCCGCTGAGCATACTAGTCAGCCAAAAACCAAGAATGAAAAAAAAAAAAAAAAAGGAATAAAAGTATAGGGAGGGCCTGCTGGTCAGGTGGTAATTTACTAAACAGCTCACTGATCCATAGCACATCTAATGTTGGATACTGTTGGGTAAATTAACAAAAAGTGAATAGAAATGTAGGATTCAAGTAGTTTACACTAGCAGGCATAGAGAATATGTCCAGAAAGGAAAAATAGATTAAAGCACAAAACAGCTCCTTTACAAATGCAAATGTGCATGTGTGCATAAAATGAGAGCCTAACAACTGAGGAGATTTGAACTGAAGTTTTTGTAATAGAAATTGTTTTAAATGTTGACTTTGAAAAAGATTTTCAATATGGTACTAGAAAATAAAATATTGGCCAGGAAAGGAGATGTTTGAAAAGGAAATAAAACACATTTTAGGAATTATAGGAAAATAACAGAAAGAGGCAACGTTTCTATAAGAGGCAGTAAAATATAAAAATCAAGATTATAACCCAGCTTCATCATTTACCATGTAACTTATGGCAAATTATTACTTACCTGTGTAAGTACTAGAACTGTCGAATAATAACAGTGATCACCATGTAGATAATACTGCCTCCTGCTAGGTATTCCACTAAGCTTTTCGTATAACTTAATGAGTGGGGCACAGCCAGGATTCAAGTCTGGCTCTAGAATCCATTCTTTTATCCAAAACAATATACTGCCCCTAACATGGTTTTTAATAACAATAGCAACTTAATTTTAGCTAACACTCAACTAAGTAATTACTAATTTTCATAGTCTATTAAATACCAATTTAATCGAATCCCTGGGATAGATATGCTTAAGATGTTGCAAAATTTAGAAATGTTTTTAAGAACCATTGTAATATATTCATTTTATGTATATTAGGCTATCTGGATGGAGAAGCACAAAAGCACAGAACTAAGATTTGGGAAACTGGGTCCTGGTCTCTGAGTGTGACAGCACATTCTACATCTTGCTGGGCTGAGATCACCAATGAGATAATAGATGCAAAGGAGCTTTAAAAATGTAACAATATTATTCTGGTTATAAAAGAACTAAGCCATTATTAAATGTCAATTATTAAATTATTATGAAGCAAGCGTTTGTCCCATGTTCCCAATAGGAACCCTACACTTTATAACATTTTATTGATATTTATTAGGAACATATTAACCCATTTTAAAATTAGGTCTGTTCTTTTCTGAAGGCATAAGCAATGATATTATCTTAATAAATATATGAACTCTCTTTTAGATTCATTCTGAGCAGACCCACGTGATGTGGCACCCTCAGATCATCTGGAAGTGGCAATCAACAACCAATAATTCTCCATTCCAAAGGTTGATGGTGTAGTTGGTAGAAAATGCAAACCTTTGGAATTCTACTCAGCTGCCCATCTTGGGCATTTCACTCATTAACACCTCCACCAGAGGGAGGGCAAGGGAAAGGAAAAGGAGCCAAACTTAAATCCTGTGGCTACGTGTTAACAGCTCCAAGGAGAGATTTGGTGAAACAAAGTTGGAGGGTCACTGTAACTGAAAGGATACAACCAACTTTGGATTTCATGGTCAATATCTTGACATTTTTCGTTATCCCAAATATCATAGATAAGCAAGGACTAACGGTAATTCTGCCTTTGTTTACCTTAATTGGCTGATATTTTCCTCAACATTTGGCTAATTTGTGATTTCCTACCATCTAACTTCTTAGCATATCCCTTGAATTAGTCTTAGAAATTACTGACCCTATATTAATAACTACAAGACCAACTCGTACACTGTAATTCTTGCAACACAGGAAAGATTTTTTAAAGGTGGAAACTATATCCTCAAAACGTATTTGGACTTTGTTAATGATATAATAATATTATTTTGGTGAACCACTATCAAGAAAAAATGTCAAAGCCAGAAATAGAACCACAGTGTCCCAGCCTCTGGTCTGAGTTCATTCCATTATAATCTATGGATGATTTCTACTCTGAATATAGAAGCTGGCAATTCTAAGAAGCACAAGTGTTTGCCAGTGAATTCCACAAGTGAAATTCATAATTCAGGATGAAGCATTTGCAAAACTATGTGTCTGAAGTATTTAAGATCACTGACCCTCAGAGGAGCAAGCATTTTTTGGGTTTTAGGAAAACACTATGGACTTTATTTCTGATTCATATCCAAGAAGACATATTATCTACTCATATTTCTTTGAAAAACACTTTCACATGGAACTGAGTAGCCACAGAAATCCCACCTTATTTACAAGGCATTTAATAATTATAACCAAGAGGTAGGAGCAGCCAGGCAGGATTGGTGGTGGTGCACACCCATAATTCCAGCTCCCAGAGAGGTTGAAGCAAGAGAATTGCAAGTGTCAGGCCAGCCAGGGCAAATAGTGAGATCCTATCTTAATTTTTTTAATTAAAAAAAAAATTAAGAGATGATAGTAATTCTTTACAATAAACAAATTCTAGTGTTCTTCCTTTATCGCCTCTACTAGTTTAATATTCTGCATTTGCTAAATAAACTTATTCTGTTCACATAATTACTATTTTTTATAAATTTCTGAATTAATAAGTTCTCAATAAATATAATGACACTATTTAATTCAGTACATATAGTGCCTAGCAAAATGTGACACACAGTAAGTATTTTTGAATAATTTCTTTGCCTTCAGCTTATTATGATCTTTTCCACCTCTGGACTAGAGTACTAATATTTATTTTTGTTTGTTGGCATTAATTAGTTACCTGGTCATACCCAATCTTGTACCATTACTTAATAGAATATTATCTCCTTTTTTATTAAGATTATAAATCTCTAGGGAAGATTTCTGAAGTTTTGACTTGTTTTCAGATAACCATAATATCTACCCCAACTTTTACCATAGAAATCACTACAAAATTATTCACAAAACAAATGATAATTGTGTCACTGTTGTAATTATTAGCAGTAGTATTTTTTTAAAATATTCTTAGCAGTGGTATTTTATTATTTGTGGTACTTTGGACAGAAATGCCATCTTGTATCTTTTGACCTACCTTCACCTCTGGTGACTGAGCTGTTTCTTGGTCACAACACTGTCATTTAATGTCACTTGCATTTGAGTAGTAATTACAAAATTTCAACCTATAGTTGAAATTAATACTGTATTCAGTATTTTCTTCTGGATTCAATAATGGTCACCCAAATCCCCATACATAAAATTTAGTGGTAAGATGGTCATAGAAA